TGTGATGCACAGTAGTGTGCAGTGACGTATCTACGAGTTATGCGCGGCACCTTGTTGATGGAGGTCAACATGCTGCGGTTGTTCTGCGTCGCCTGGCTCTCCTGCTTCTTCTGCTGTTGCTCGGCAACCGTCGCGCCAAAGTCCAGCCAGAGACTGAGCATCCGCGGCATCGACTGTGGAGCATGATGCAACACGTTATTACTAGAGGTGGGATGTCGCAGTAACTCATGAAAAAACGCTCAAAATACAGAGAGTAGCATCAAACTCTCGCCCGACTATCGCGATGGGGTGCCTTTACTAGTCATTGACAAGTAGCGAAAAATCTCCAGAATTTGTAGGTGGTTTACAGTAGAAGCTGCAATGAACGAGTCGGGAATGTTGCGTGCTGCAGCTATATTTTTTACCTGGTAAATATACTTGTTTCCATGTTGCAACGAGTTGCTAAAGAATCTGACAATGTAGGCCAGCACGTCTCTAAAATGGAAAAAGTATTTGTTCTTATTGGTATGTCACATAAAAGTCTTGGGACAACCGTCATTCAACTACGACTTCTGTAGGACGTCTTGCTACTGTAAAAAGGCGGTCACACTAAGGGCAGGGGAACACTTGTCACGGGGGGACATCTGTCACGTCACAGCAGGGTGTTCGCCACGGGGAAACATTCATCACGGGGGGGGGGAGTTTGTCACAGGGGGACATTCGTCATGGGGGGCCGTCCATCACGGAGGGAAAGTTCATCGCGGAGGACATCTCTCACGACAAGACAGGATGCTCATCGCCATGGGGGGGACATCCTTCACTGGGGGGGGGCGTTCACCACGGGGGTCACTCACGCCTTGCGGTCGTGCGACTCGAGCTGGGCGAGCAGCAGGTCGTAGTAGTGCGCGAGGCAGAAGTGTCCGTCCTCCCAGTCGGGGCTCATCTCCACCACGTCCTTGTAGAGCTTCATGATCGCGTTGCTCTCCATGCTGCTCGACTCCTCGCTGTAGCGGCCTGCGCAGAGGAAGAGGATGTAGAAGGAAGCAAACATAGAAGGAAGCAAATATAGAAGGAAGATGACATGGAAGGAAGACAACACAGAAGCAAGATGCCACAGAGGAAGCCTGCTCTTCACTGTAGCAGTCTGCGCACAGTAAAAAGATGTAGAAAGAAACAAACATAGAAGGAAACAAACATAGAAGGAAGATGACATAGAAGCAAAATGCCACAGAGGAAGCCTGCGCTTCACTGTAGCAGTCTGCGCACAGGAAAAAGATGTAGAAATAAACAAACATAGAAGGAAACAAACATAAAAGGAAGCAAACATAGAAGAAAGACGACACAGAAGGAAGCAAACATAGAAGGAAGACGACACAGAAGCAAGATAACACAGAAGAAGCCTGCTCTTCCCTGTAGCGGCCTGCGCACAGGAAGAAGATGTAGAAAGAAACAAACATAGAAGGAAGACGACACAGAAGGAAGCAAACATAGAA